GGAGAGCTGTCCTACCCTTTGCCCTCTCTGAACCTCCATTCCCCCACCTACCAGGGGACAGTTTGAGGGGCGGGCAGTGGCTGTCAAGCGACTCCTTCGTGAATGCTTTGGCCTGGTGCGGCGGGAGGTCCAGCTGCTGCAAGAGTCAGACCGGCACCCCAACGTGCTCCGCTACTTCTGTACAGAGCGGGGACCCCAGTTCTACTACATCGCCCTGGAGCTCTGCCCCGCCTCCTTGCAGGAGGTGAGGCTGGGGCGCAGGGCGGTGTGGGTGAGGGCATAGGGTCCTGGGCTGCAGTGACCTGGCCCTTGCTGCTCCTCAGTACGTGGAAAATCCAGAGCTGGACTGCTGGGGCCTGGAGCCGGAGACAGCACTGCAGCACCTCATGTCTGGCCTGGCCCACCTGCATTCTCTACACATAGGTACCCACCCACCCCTCGCTCCCCATCTCCCACCCTGCCTTCCCCACCTGCGCTCAGCTGCCTCCCGCTCTCACAGTGCACCGGGACCTGAAGCCAACCAACGTGCTCATCACGGGGCCTGAGGGCCAGGGCCGAGGCAGGGTGGTCCTCTCGGACTTCGGCCTGTGCAAGAAGCTGGCAGCCGGCCGCTGTAGCTTCAGCCTGCGCTCAGGTGTCCCCGGCACAGAGGGCTGGATGGCACCTGAGCTCCTGCAGCTCCCGCCCCCCGACAGCCCGGTGAGTCCTCCATCACCTGGCCCAGGGCCTCCTGCCCAGGCTGCACATCACGCCGTGTGAGCTGGAACTTGCTCCTTCATCTGTAAAGTGGGCTCATTCATCCTTTCCTACCTAGAGCAGTGGTTCTCAACCAGAGACTATTCCACCACCCAGGGGGCCCTGGGTAATGTCTGGAGACCACACGTGGTGGGTAGGGGGGTGTTACTGGCATCTGGTGGGTAAAGACCAAGGATGCTGCTAAATATCCTTTGACCACGCCCCATGAAAGTTATCAGGCCCAAAGTGTCAATAGTGCCGAGGTTAAGAACCCTGAGCTGAAATGGCTTTACCTCTTCACTGTGCTGCAGAATCACTGGGCAACTTAAAAAAGTCAGCTGCGAGGCCCCACATCCAGTGACCCCAGCCCGATCCGCTGGGGCAAGGCCAGGGTCTTCAATGCAGCAGCGTAGAGAAGCGCTGGGTGGAGGGCTGGGAACATCTGATGAGCGAACATAGTTGAAGCAGTGTCTGACCCTAGAGACATGTAAGTTTGGGGCCCCAGGTTTGTGTGTGTGGAAGTGACAGTCATGGGCATAGATGACAG